TTTTGCGAATCTTCATTTTTGTTTATCTAATATTTCCTGTACTTTCTAACTTGTACAAATAAAAAAAGCCTTTCTAGTGTTTACTGTAGTCACTGAAAACAATAATGAATAGGACCGCTAACCAAAGACAACACTTGTGGCTACAGGAGACCTCTTTTTATTGCTCTTCAGAAAGAACTATTCACAGCCAGCTGTGAATTTAACTACCTCTACTAGTGTCCCAACCTATGTTTCTGGACTCATAAGGCTGTCATGGGAAATCAAGGTATACTGCTAGAGCATTCTATAGCATTACCAAATCAAAATTTATCGAAAAGCCTTATTATAAGGAAAATTCCCTTGATTTGGACTTTTCTCCATCTAGTTGTTGATTCAGGCACCTAGTGTTAGCTTTTTAAAATCCTCCGGTACTTAGAATTCACACACTTAATACCCTCTTTCTAGAAATTTTTAAGAGATCAACGTTAAGCTTGTCATTCTATATTTTCGGAATCTGTCTTTCCACCTTTTTAAAAAATCAGTGCAGCATTTGAAAATTATTTTTCAGCCAGGCGCAGTGCCTCATGCTGTAATCCTAGCACTCTGGGAGGCCGAGCGGAGAGGGAATCGCCTCAGGTCAGGAGTTCGAAAAGGCCTGAGCAAGAGACACCCGTCTCTAGTACTAAAATAAAAACAAATTTTGGCCAACTGAAAATATATAGGAAACAAATTGAGCTGGGCATGTGGTGATGCATGCCTGTATAGTCCCAGCTACTCCGGAGGCTTGAGGCAGCAGGGATGGCTCGAGCCCAGAAGTTTGAGGTGTGCTGTGAGCTAGGCTGATGCCACGACACTCTAACCCAGGCAACAGAGTGAACTCTGTCTCAAAAAAATTAAATAAAAATTCTTTTTCCTCTGTGTTTGAAATTTTTTCAAGACCTTGAGATTTAATTTGTTTGAATGTACAGTCTTAAATATGTTTAATACCACTCAGCTTTAGTACCCTCTTTTTAACTATCACAGACTTCAGCTTCTTTTCATTTTTGTCTGTTGTTTCCCCATTGAGGGCCATACTTACAGATGAAAAAGACAAAGGCAAATTTTGTAAGGAATCTCTTCCTTCTCTCTAATTATCAGTGTAACATTATGCCATCTTTCTCTTAATAGATTATATTCTTGTCCAAGGCATAGCTTTAAAAATTTCTTGTTAGGCCAGGTGTGGTGGGCTCACTCCTGTATCCTAGCACTCTGGGGAGGCTGGAGGTGGGCAGATTGCTTGAGGTCAGGGAGTCAAAACCAGCCTGAGCAAGAGCGAGACCCCATCTCTACATATAAATAGAAAGAAATTAATTGGCCAACATAATAACATATATAGAAAAATTAGCTGGGCATGGGTGTGCATGCCTGTAGTCCCAGCTACTGCGGGACGGCTGAGGCAGAAGGATTGCTTGAGCCGCAGGAGTTTGAGGTTGCTGTGGAGCTAGGCTGATGCCACAGCCCTCTATGGCCAGAGCAATAGAGTGAGACTTCTGTCTAAAAAACAAAAAAAAAAAAAAAAAAAAAAAATTGTTGTTTTAGTAGCATTTTTGGAAACCTCGGTTCTTACTGTGCTTGTGCCTTTGTGACACTTAAAGGTTCACACCAATATTTTGTATTCATAATTAGTCTTTTATACATACTTATTCTTTTAAAAATCTGAGCTTCGCTTATAAATTGGTTCTCTAGGTGCTTTGCCATCTCATTAGGAATATTTGTGATTATATAATCAGAAATTTATTTCCTTAAGAATCTCCCATGCGACTCAGAGGCTTTGTCCATGAGATCATATCTAACTTTGAGTTGAACTCTCAGATCTTTTCAGATGAAGGGATATGTCTTATTAGAATCAGAATTTTCTTCTTTGCCGTTACGAATTCTAAGGCAACATTTCATTCTTAACCAGAACCATGTTGAAATAATTCCTTTTATATTTCCTCTGCAGGTCGCAAGTTTGTTACTTATTTTACTTTCAGTAGCTAAACCCCTAAGCAAGCCAGTGGTCATATAGGCTGACTGGCAAACTAAATGGTCAGTAGCTTAAGCCAGGGCTTCTTAACCCCAGCTCAATTACTCAAGTTATACTATTTGTCAATAGCAAATTGACAGGGATGAAAATCCTAGGTCTAATAGGAAAAAGGCTTTCAGTGTTTTATTCTTAAGTTGAATTGAATTTCCACTTCATGTAAATGAGCTATGAAATAGGCAAATATAAAAATGAAATTTTTGGCCGGGCGCTGTGGCTCACGCCTGTAATCCTAGCTCTTGGGAGGCCGAGGCGGGCGGATTGCTTAAGGTCAGGAGTTCAAAACCAGCCTGATTAAGACACAAGTAGTGAATCAACTCCTTGTATCTACATGTTTTCCCATATATGATATGATGTTGATAATATTGAACTGTTCATAATAATTCTTAAGAGGAGTGTTTTGGATAACTTAAAATGTATCAAAATTAGAGCTCAGGAAAAGAAAAAAAGGCCCAATTAAAAAAAACTGGTAATTTAAAAGTCAACGCCAAAAGTCCATAAGTTATTTGAATACCGGAGGGTAACCACCATCGGGAGGAAAAGATTGATGCTCTCAGTCTATAACTGTAGATTGAAATTTACTAAGTGGAATATAAACTAAAAATTACCTAGCAAAAGAATATACATACTATAAGCTAATACATATGTCATATTATAACTATACATGTGTTTATAGATAATATAGATAATGATAAACAGCAGAAGGTAGGACAGGTGCTAGATAGATGGGTGTGTGTGTGTGTGCTGGTGTATGGTATATTAGTGTTTTACTTTCAGGATAATGGAAGAGAAGCAAGCCATGCAGAGTGAAGTGAATGCAGGCCATTTTCGGCGGCAACACAAGCTGCTCTCATTTCCACTGTGAAAGTGGCAGAAACCTGCAAAAGCTGCTGGCCAGGCTCCAATCCCTCTCCGTATTCAAATCAACTAATGCCTTTGGTTTCTAGCTCAAGGGCTCTCATGAGACACGTTTTTTCCCTTTTGCTCCGATTTCTCAAACAGGTCTTAGTGGATCTCTGTTATGGAATTTGCCTTGAAATAGCTTTACATTTCCTCCCGGAAAAGAAACTAAAATAAGGACCTGTGTGCAGGTAGTTATGTAGGAGGAGTAAATTTTAAGCCCAGTAGACTGAGGCAGAATAAAGAGAAAGACAAACATACAGGGTTTTGCTGTTTAGAACCCCATGGGGGCCAAATGTTTCTCACGCTACCCAGAACCTTTCTGGGGAGCATCAAGAAAACAACTTTTGCAATAGAGTTACCACCAGGATAACCAAGAGAATTATCTTATATACACCGAACTTCCTTTCTTATTCTGATACATTCCTCCCTAAGGAATTCTACATCTAACATCCTGGTCGTCTGGTCTATGCTAGTCAAGTCATGTTAGGAATTGTTGTCATTGGACAGGACAATGTCATTACACTTTAGGAGACATTCCTGGTTTAACTAGGATACAAATCTCGTTCGTCTTCTGCGCCTATGTATCGCAGTTTCTTTGGCTGACGAAAGGAAGACCGCTCGGGTACCCGAAGAGACATGCATAACCATTATGAGTCTCGCCCACCCTGTCACTTTATTTCCTACTAAAGTCATCGATTATGAAGTCATCTGTACATATCCATTTTTATCAGTACATTTACGATCGATGTAT